GTGAGGCGCAGGGGTGGTCTTCGGGTGCAAGAGAGGACAGGTGTGGGTGTTAAGTCAGGGAAGGGCGAAGGATGATGATGATGATGATGATGATGGTGATGATGTGAGGGCACTTACCTTGTATTGGCGATGGTCAGCATATGGGCGACATCTTCAAATACTTCGGGTTGCCGCTGATGTCAACAATTGCATTGTCTACTGTTAGGCTGATCGTAGCTGTGTAGGAGTAGGCTGGGCGCTGAGCGTCAGGTAGGAGTGTGAAAGGATTGGACTCTTGTGTTGCTGAAGGAGAGAGAAAGCTGTCCATGACATTGGTTTTCAGTACTACGAACCTCCATTGGTGTATTATTCGTGCAATGCTGCTCTCTGGACACAGTGTGACTATCTGGCTTTTAATGTGATGGTGTAATCTGGATTTGTCATCTCGCTGTTGCTTATTTTCCTTGCAATTTGGTATCAGAGCTGGTTCATATTGCGCTTCATTGGTTCTTCGCAATAGCTATTGGTGCTTCACATGAGGTGTGAGGCAGTGATAAGGCATTGGTGTCGAACATTAGGCGGCCCGGGGTAGAGTGGACGCGCCAGGGAGCTATGTGGTGACATGCGGGTGTATGCTGGATGATGAGAGCTCGCTGATGTGACATATTAAGCCGAGGTGGAACCGCATTCTGCTGTTGGTTGTGCCAAGGCAAAGACCGGTCATCATAATTGAACATCAGGTTGCCGGTGAGAAATCTGTGGTTGGGGGCAGCATTTATGAGGTACGTTGCTCTCTTCCTTATCTCTACCCTCTTCATTGCTTCTTACCGTGAGGAAGTGAGTTCTGTCTTGAGAGTCCTCTCGATGTGAGGTGTCGCGAGCGCTCAACCTTGAGAGTCTACATTCTTCCTGGGCAGCAAGCTGGTGGGAGACGGGTGAAGTCTCTGAAGGGCCCTGGACGAAGCACTCGGGTCACAGTCACCATGCCAACCCGCTGGGACTAGTACACGCATGCTTTGCCGCAAGTCCTTGGTTCTACTGCTTGCGCAATAGAGGTCATGCAGGGCATGCCAACCCTTTGACAGACGCTTACCAGACCGTTTTTAAATATTTCTGGTTGGGGACTCGATTTTGAATCTGGCTGTGATCGATGTCCTGTCTGCGACGTTAAATAATTCCTTAGGAGATGGGGGCTCTCCTTAAATCCCTCCTGATCAGCCAGATCAATCGGGTGTAAGGCTCGTTGCATGCTAGGGTAAATAATGTGCAGGGGCTGGCAGGTTCGGCGTTGACTTGGGGCACAGGGGTGGGCCGGATTGCACACCTTCAGACACGCTGCTCAACCAGATGCTCAGGACGTTGACACAAAGTGATCACTCAAGAAGGATACAGGGGGAGGGACTTGACTAACAACTGACAGACAACTACAGACATATTAGATCTTTGCTGTATAGCAATCTGTTCTAGGATAATCTAAAAATAGATATGATATTTCCTGTAGGATCTGACATTAGTTGATTACTACATCACCTAACTGTTTCTGTTCCATCCGACCGAAATTATTTGTGATTCATAATCAGTTGTGTGTCAGGCTAAGGTAGGATTCAGTGTGGATTCTAGTTTAGATCACACACACTGTAGTTCATGAGTGATGCAAGCACTAGTGAGGAGGAGTTGTTAGTGGACGATCGTAGGACTACTCGTGGGATTGCTTGTAGTCGACCCTTGACATTCTTGGAATTAGGTCCAGGAGACGAGAGAAGATTGAGGAGAGAGGCTAGAGAGAGAGCAGCGGCAAGGAGAGTGAGGGCAACTGAGGATAGTGCCAGGACTAGAATTTCAGCTAGCACCGGTGCAGTCATGGCTACTTCATCTACCATGTTGCAAACCTCTTCACAGTTCACTTCGTCAGGACTTAGTCAGAGTGGTTCTCAGGGGTCCATTAGTCAGACTGCTAGCTTGCGAGTCAGCCAACAGACTCAACTCACGCCAGAGGATTTAGAAATCCGGCAAGCCAAAAAACTTCAGGATGAGCTGCAGCGGCAGTTGGACGAAGCAGCAGAGAGAAGAAGAAAAGCAATACTTAGAAAGGCTAGACTGGGAAGTAGAGTGCAGCAGCTAGGGAGACTGGAAGGACTAGATGAGGCAGCATTAGACCCTGCTGTCCGTGTGCTGCGTAATGCCTTACTATCAGTGGCAGAAGCGCCGAATGTCCAGCAGAAAGTGCTGGCCGAGTTCGTTGCAGGTTAGAAACAAATAGTGGCTGAACTTCGGGCTCCTCGTATAATGATGAGGCAGCCACAGTTTGCTGTAGTTCCCCCTGCAGGTGCGGGTCCTTCTTCGTTGCCGTAACACACAGGGCCAACTTTCTCTCCTATGTTTGGCATGCCCCCTCCCGGTGGTTTAGTAGCAACTAGTGGTCCGGTTCATAGAGTCTCAGCCGTACGATCTACGACAGCGGTCACTACAGTCCCACTGTCAAGCCAGACCCAGGCTAGTGTGCAACAACCTGTTTCAGTGGCTATGCAGCCGCTGCAGCAAGCCCCTGGGACCATGCAGCCTATGCAACGGATGCAGTGGATGCCCAAGATACCCCTGACGAGTCCTAAGCCCTTCTCTGGCGATAGGAAGAAGGATGAGGACTTAGACATCTGGGTGAGGACTGTGCCTACTTATGTGAGGCACAAGCTCACCAAGCCAGAGCAGGAAGTTGTAGTGGCTGCCTCCTTTTTAGAGGGGTCAGCAGCCCGCTGGTTGAATGGCTTAGTGCAGCAGCAGGGCTACGGTCAAAACTTCGATGCCTGGGCACAGTCCCAGACATTGGAAGAGTTCGTACGGTCCGTGTATAACAGGTGGCATGAGCCGCAAGGGGCTCAGAAGGCCACCGATGCTATCAACAGTCTTTGTTCCCGCAGGTTCAAGAATGTTAGAGAGCTAACGGACACCGTAGAAGGTTTACTCGTGGTACCTGGTGTGCGTTTTGACCAGCAGGTTCTCCTGACGGATTACCTAAGGTGCCTACCTGCAGAGGTAAGGACCAAGCTGGTTGATGAGGCCTATGTCGAACAACACACCTTCGCTACTTTTAGTAAGAAAGCTCTGGACATAGAGGCAAAGCTGGGATCCGCGCATCAGGTATCTCATGATGGTAGGAAGAGACTTCCCCAGGAGAAAGAAGAAGGGTCAGTTGATGTCCGTGGACCATGATGGTCAAACGACGGAGATTGATGATTTCCCATACCTTGGGGAGGTGACAGAGCACGATGGGGCTAGTGAGACTTCGGATGGGGGAGTTGTGGCACCCATCAAGGAAAAGGCTAGGGGGACCGGGAAGAAGAAGGTAGTACGGTCCACGGGTCAGGGCGACCAAGGAGCACCCGCATGGGTAGAACTTGGTTTAGAGTATGAGGTGTGGAGGGACAGAGTTGCTAGGGGCACGTGCATGAACTGTGGCAACTATGGCCACACGTCTCGGACGTGCCGAGGCACGAAAGTCTTGACGAGGGTAGCCTCACCAACAGTGGTGGGACTTTCTTCGAATTCTGGGGAGGTGACAAAGCACGATGTTCGTGGACCATGATGGTCAAACGACGGAGATTGACGATTTCCCAGACCTTGGGGAGGTGACAGAGCACGATGGGGCTAGTGAGACTTCGGATGGGGGAGTCGTGGCACCCATCAAGGAAAAGGCTAGGGGGACCGGGAAGAAGAAGGTAGTACGGTCCACGGGTCAGGGCGACCAAGGAACACCCACATGGGTAGAACTTGGTTTAGAGTATGAGGTGTGGAAGGACAGAGTTGCTAGGGGCACGTGCATGAACTGTGGCAACTATGGCCACACGTCTCGAACGTGCCGAGGCACGAAAGTCTTGACGAGGGTAGCCTCACCAACAGTGGTGGGACTTTCTTCGAACTATGGCGGTGCTTCTGCGAGCACTTCGCAGGGAAACACCTCGGGCCAGTAGGAGTTTTAGCCGCTCTTACTCGCGCTGAAGTGGTTACATTGCCTTCCCCACTTCAGGCGTTGGCCAAGGCTAGTGACCCAGGTTTCGCCCCGCAGACACATTTAGACCCACCAACACTCTGTTCGAGAGATGTGTCTGAGGCCCTAGAGGAGTTAGAGACTTAGTGGTCAGGGAAGGACCCGAGGGACTCTTGGGCGATGATAAGTAGAGGTCCAAAGGGTGAACATTTCGTGGTAGAGGTTGATGTAGGTGGCCGCAAAGTTGGCGCCTTCACAGACATAGGCTGTACGTGGAACTTCATCAGTCGTGCTTGTGTGGATAGATTGCGCTTAGGGGACCAAGTGCAGCGGCTTAGCAGAACCGTAGCTTCTACACTGGCCAACAAACACCAAATGTTGGTAAAAGACTATGTCAAGGACGTAGTCTGTACCTTCTCCTATGGAGGAGGGGAAGTGAGCCATAAAATCCCCTTCTTGGTTAGCGACGAACTGCCCTTTGACATGCTCCTAGGTATGTACTACCTCGAGGTCGCGCAACCGCAGTTTGACTGGGATAGAAAGGTGTTGATTCACAAATTGCCCAATGGTAGATCTGTTAGATTGCAAAAGTTTAAAGCTAGCAGTCTGATAGAAAACTACGGGTGCATGTGTGCATCATCTTTCTATAACTACTATAAGCAAAATCCCGAGGAGGGCATGTATCTAGTCTTTGTCTCTGAGAAAGGGGAGGCYGTTAAAACACCCTCWGAGATAGAATCAGTCGTCGCAACATATTCAGACCTTTTTKAGGAGCCCACAGGCGTGGTGGAAAGGGAGGTGGTCCATGCGATAGAAGTTGTCCTAGGTAGTAAGGTACCTAGAGGACAAATCCATAGGATGTCTCCTGCGAAGTTGGATGAGCTCCGCCGCCAGCTCAAGGAGCTCATAGAAAAGGGATGGATTCGGCCTAGTACCTCCCCTTACCGTGCGCCAGTCTTATTTGTCTCAAAGAAGGGAGGTACCTTGAGGATGTGCTTCGACTATAGGGGCCTCAATGCCATCACTGTTAAGAACACGGAGCCCCTACCCCGCATCGACGACCTCTTGGATAGAGTGCAGGGATGCCGGTACTTCACCAAGATAGATTTGAAGTCCGGATACCATCAAATTGCCATTAGGCCTGAGGATCAGCACAAAACCGCATTTCAGACCAGGTACGGTCTGTACGAGTTTGTGGTGATGCCCTTTGGACTATGCAATGCACCTGGTACGTTCCAGCACGCGATGAACAAGATTTTTCATGACTACTTGGACAAGTTTATCGTCGTGTACCTCGACGATATTCTCGTCTTTAGTAGGACTGTAGAGGAGCACGCTGAGCACTTGAAAACAGTGCTAAGTCTCCTAAGACAGCACCAATACAAGGTTAACTTGGAGAAATGCGAGTTTGGTCACACCTAGATCTTGTACTTGGGTCATGAAATCTCAGCAGATGGATTGAGGCCGAATGATGCCAAGGTGGCCAGCATACGTGACTGGCCCAGACCTCGGACTGTTACTGAGGTCAGATCGTTTTTGGGGATGACGGGCTACTATCGTCTGTTTGTGAAAAACTATGGTACTATAGCTTCCCCATTGACAGATCTAACTCGATTGGACATCCCTTGGGAGTGGACTGAAGAGTGTGAGGCGGCCTTCAGGAAACTGAAGTATGCCCTGACACACTATGAGGTTCTTAAACTTCCTAATCCTGATAAGCCCTATCTCCTTGGCAGATTCTACTACGTGAGATCTGACCATGAGACCTTGCGTTGGATCAAGACTCAGTCGGTACTCTCTGACGCACTCAAGCGCTGGATACAAGTGATAGACATGTATGACTATCAACTTGATCCAATCAAGGGAGAGTACAACAAAGTGGCTGATGCGTTATCTCGCCGGGCGGATTGTCTGGGCACACTAGTGATTGAATTTGGCATATCTAGTGATTTGACTCGATCATTGGTGGATGCCTATCAGCAAGATCCAGTTATGTCTGAGATCATCCGTAGATTCCAAGCAAAGGAGAAAAAAACTTTGGACGAATTTACGATGGTAGACGACTTGCTGTTTCTTGAGAAGGCAGGGGTAAAAGATTGTGTGTTCCCAATAGTGAGTCTTTGCGTAGTTTATTTTTAGGAGAATGTCATGATGCAATGGGTCATTTTGGATACAAGAAGACATCAGCGAACTTAGTACAGAGATTCTGGTGGCCCTCTATGATGCGAGATGCAAAACGCTATGTTGAAACCTGCCAGGTTTGCCAGAGGGACAAACCGAGGACTCAGGCTCCGCTTGGGCTGATCAAGCCCTTGCCGATTCCTGAAGGACCTGGTCAGAGCGTGTCCATGGACTTCATGGATACTCTTGTGAGAGTAAGTCCGGCAAAAGGCACATCTTCGTAATAGTGGACCGCTTTACTAAGTATGCAAGACTAATCGCTATGCCAGAAACAACTAAAACTGACCACGTCATCAAACTGTTTATGGATAATTGGGTACGTGATTTCGGTTTGCCTACATCTATGGTTAGTGATAGGGATGTGAGATTCATAAGTAAACTGTGGCAGTCAACCGCTGAACAGATGGGCACAAAACTCCAAATGACCTTAGGGAATCACCCTGAGTCAAATGGCAAGGCAGAACAGATGAACCGAGTAGTACAGCACCTGCTTAGACATTATATTAAGCCAAGTCAGGATGACTGGGACGAGAAGTTACCGCTCGTCGCCAGCTTGTACGACAATGCTGTGCACAGTGCTACCGGTATGACTCCCAACCAGTTACATCTTGGTTGGAAGCCCAGAACTGCACTTGACTTTCTGCTATCGGAAAGACAACCCACTGCAGCACCTGGCGGCATTGATTTTGCTGTCAAATATGAACAGATGCTGCAGCAGGCCGTTGAACATATTAGGAAGTCTCAGGATGCTATGATCGCATCTAAGAATAAGCATAGACGGCCCTCTAACTTTCAGGTAGGTGATAGAGTCTGGGTAAAGTCATCTGAAGTAGGTCAGTAGATAAGAATATCCAGAAAACTGATGCCACAGTATTTTGGGCCCTGGGAGATCTTGGACATTGTAGGGGATCAACCAGATGGGCCTTCATACGTGATCCGTATTCCTGCACACCTACGCACTTACCCTGTGTTCCATGCTTTTTTTTGGCACCTTTCGCTGCTACAGAGCAGTTTCCTTCAAGAAGATCAATGCTGCCCCCAACCATGGACGGCGAGGTGGACGTCGATCAGATTGTGGAGCATCGAATGATGCCTGTTCCTCGACCATCAGGCAGAGGGCGACCTCCTAAACCGAGAATGCAGTATCGTGTGAGCTTCAGACATCACCTCGATCCCAAGGAAGATCGCTGGTTCACACGAGAGGAACTCATGAGAACAGCACCTCAAGTGATTGCAGGCTATGAAAGAGAACGAAAAGGGAAGATGCCTGCAGAGTAAGAGACTTCTCAGAGGACTAACGAAGTGAAGGAGGAGGGAATGCGAGGATCAAGGTCCTCGGTAGGCCTAAGGGGCCCTGTTTGCAGCATTGGCCGCCCTAAGTGAAGGCGGGCCTGACATATCGCAAGAGGCCCTCGACTGTCAATTTCATATTTGGGGTCCAGGCAGTTGCGACACGCCAGTTGGTTGAGAGAAACTCAGGCCGGGCAACAAAGACATTTCCACGACCCTCTGGGCTTTTCCAAAGAATGCAAGACCTGGGCGTGAATCGCAGCCTCATACAGAGACAGTTGGGCGCCCAACCGAACGAGGCCCAGCAGCCCAGTAGCTGCTGTACACAGGCAGCCTC